TATAATTTTTTGGGATTTTTTTTTTTTAGGATTTAATTTTTAGGATATTGTACTTTTGAAATTTTGTTCATTTAGTATTTAGTGTATTGAGATTTAGTACCTTTGGGATTTTGATCTTTTGGATATTGACCCAAACCCAGTGGTTCTAATGTTAAAATTGACCCAGTGGATCGCGAGGCACGGGCATTTTTGTTTTTACAACTATATGTTTACTTCTTTGTGTAAACAAAGAAGTAAACATATAGTCACGAAGACAAAAACGTCCATATATTATGACCCATTGGGTTGGTTTTAACCACTATTATGCTCGGAATTCTCTTCTCTACAACTTTTATTAGAAGTAGAAGAAATTTACTTAGTAGAAATCGATTTGTCTTTTGGGAAACTTCAGATTCGGAAAAAGGTAAAGTTTACATAGTAAAATTTTTCAACATACTTTGTTATAAATATGTTTAAGAATAGGTTTATACTAAAATAATTGAAAAAAGCAAAGCGATTCACTTTAGACATAAACATGCAAGTTGTTCTCTACAATTGAACTATATATAAGGGAGGGTCGGGTATTCTGGTGCGAAGGGTATTTTGGCGCACTTACATTTTTTATAATATCTTACGATACACTGATCAGAATCAAACATTTTTAGTACCATTCGATTCGTTTTATTGAGACGAATCGAATGATACAAAAATTAATCAATTCCGATCATGACTTGAAGGAAAGTCAGACATTATTGTGCAATTCTTACGTTATTTTCTCCTTTTTCCTATCTGGGCCAATTCAAGAAAAAGATCAGCAAAGTACAATCTAAAAATAGTTATTTGCACATACTTAACACAATACCGAATATCGATACGTATATATAGTGCGAAAAATACCTCAAGTTAAGAAAAAACATAACAGTTTGTAGATAACTTTTAGAAGTTGACTATCGAGTTTTTTAAAAAAAATTACCAATTTTTTTTTGTTAATTGATAGATATTAAGTCAAATATTGGTTTATTTCAATAAATTTTAGGAACTATATATTTTCATGAGAACTTTTACTATTAGCACTCTTAGGTGCGCCAGAATACCCGACCCTCCCTTAAGTGATAAATAATATATTTGATCACAAATTCAAAAAATTCTTAATAATTGATTTTCGAATAGTACTGCATATCGATATAGTTTTGATTTACATAGTTGACCGAAACCCTAACTTTATAAGCACTTATTAATCAGCTAGTCGACTTCAGATCATTATACCGACTAACAAGTCGATTTTGTGTGCCTGACTACTATCACTGTGTGTCGGATAACCCAGACTCTGATACAAGATTTACTTTCTTTATTCACATCGTATAAGCCACAATTAAATTACGATATCAGATTACTTAAGCATAATCTACATAACGATAATGATGATAGTCTAGAACCATATTTATGTAAATTAAATTTTTTTTTGCTTTTTTTTGGAATTGCCGAATTCTAATTAATAAATATCCTAGAATTCAAAGTCTGTACATCGATATTGGATTATTACTGTATCTGGTGCTTCGTGTTGACTCGACCTAATTCGAGTATATTACTCATATTCAAAGCTGTAAAGCTAAATAAATTTGTTAATATTTGCTAAATATAGATAATAACGATAAGAACAGATAATGCTAAGCAATATTTATTATCATCATAATATTATTTCCAGACTATAGCAAATTAATAATCTTGATGCTAGTAATTAAATGTAAATAAAATAAATTCATTATATATATATATATATATTAAAATCTCTATTATTATAAAGTCGCATTTAAGAGAAAAATAAATATCTAGAATTATAAAGTAGCATTTAACTGTTAAGCGAAAAAATTCTTTAGGATTTATGCAAAGTAGGCGACTCTTGCATATTTGCATAACATTCATGCATATATGCGTTTACCATATAGCCACGGAGTTTAATAGATTTTTTATATATGGCTCCGACTGACCTCCATACAAAAAATAACGACCCTTGCATATCGAGTAACATTTTTTTAATCATTATAATATGGCACTGTTAATCGGAAGCTTCAATCAATTTTGGAATGTCCAATAAAAATGTTGAAAACTGTAATTGGAAATTTTATATTTTATTAACTAATCAAAGTTAATGATTTAGGTTTTCAGACAGTTTCTTCAATGTAATTAGCTAGTGATCGAGATGTTGTTCAAATAATTACAATTAATTGAGTAGTGAATGCAGTTAATCGAAGAATGGCGGGTTAAAAGTTCATTGTGCGAAATGCGGATTCTAACTTTTAGTCAATCAATAAAAAAAAAAATGGTCTGCGCCTTCAGACTTTATTCATCGAAATAGTAGCACAGGTCGACATAAGAAATATCGGGGTCAAATCGGCATTATATGAACCCGATGTTTGCAGAAATAGGATACCAATAGGATTCAATAGATAAAAATAGCTATCAGAATGCCGATAACTCTATAAGATTATTGATAAAGCTTTGATAGCTTTATTGATGATTCTGTAGAGATATTGGCACTCTGGTAGCTATTTGAATTCTATTTGCTAAAAGTTGACCAATTTCTCACACTTCTGATTGCTTCTATTAATTATTCACATATCGGAATATCTAGGTTATTAATCAATTTTATAGTGAAGTGTGAAGGAAATTAGTAGTGGGATGCATAGTTTATTTTGTAGATCATCGCTAAAGCGGGAAAGAGTTAACTTTTGGATGCAGTTAGGGTAATCGATTTATATGAATATCAATAACACAATTACGCAGTATGTAGATCCTATGTTGAATTTATTTTGTTGAATGGTTAGGGCCATCTTTTATTAGGGTTGGTTAGATTTTAGATAGTTATATATAAGCAAGATCCCTTTCCTACAATTTTTATTAATCTACCCGAAGTAGGTTTAGACTGCTATTTTTCGTATTTTTTGTTGCAGATCATAATGAAATCAGATCATTGTGAAATTTAGGGGTCTCATTTTAAACATAGCCCTACCAAAATCCACCTATACTCTTTTCCTAATAATTCTAACCCCAAACTCTAACTTAACTATAAAAAAAAAACCTAACAAAAAAGGCTCCTAAAAATTTTAAAAATTTCATTATGGTCTATCACTTTTTTTAGCTTTTTGCTTCGCCGACGATCATCAAAATTCTATAATTTGATTGGCCTGATATCACGTGATTATACTCCGCCCTGTTTATTATCGACAGAAATTAAGAATGATCAAAACAATTGTGGTATACTAATATTATATAATTCTTTAAATCCGCCGATATGCCTATTCCTGCAATATATCTGTTTTTTATCGGGTTCACATTATGCCGATATTTCTTATTTCGAACCGTGTAACTCACTTGATTAATTTGTTCAATTTCAGACTAATTAAAAACTTGACTCCGATCCATGTTTTGAAATACCCTTATACAGTGAAATCTTCATAAGTTACCCTCTATAAATGCACATCCCCTCTAAATGAATGCTTAAATTCAGGTCCAAATACGGTAAAACCTCCGTAAGTGCACACTCTTGGGCCCGAACTTTATCGACGTGCACTTAGAGAACAATAAGGAAAGGTGCATTTATGGAAGTCATGTATATATTTGGACCTAGTGATGTGCCATTTATATGATACCCGAATTTTTTTCGCGTAAAGTACGTACAGTACGTATAGTACTGTACTGTGCACTTTAAGGGATGCACTTATGGAGATTTCACTATATATACATGACCTCCATAAATGCATTTTTTCTTATTGTTCTAACTATCCATGAATTAAATCCTTGCAAAAAAGGTTAATCCACTTTTCTAATCCATATTTATGCTGTCAAATGTCATGTTGCAGATTCACAGGAAATAAGGAGATATAACGGGAATATTCGAATAATTTTTTTATAGGAATAGTTTACATTAATAATTTAAAAATCTTTTGAATAACAATAATCTGCATTTTGAACAGATCGAATCAAACACACAAAATTACATTGATTTAAAATTTATATACCTGATATGAATTATACGAGAAATATGGAACATACATATTACATAAAAATATGGATTTTTGAACAGAAAAATAATGTTATTACAATAAATAATAGATATTACACGGTTCCTATGACCATAATATTTCTGATTAAAATTGTTCATGATGACGCAATGCCCATGGAACATTTTTGATATTTTCACGGCATTAATTCTTCATAAAAATATCATCAGAAATGTTCACGGGCGAGCATTAGGGGCCACGGAATATTAAGTATTTTATATATTTATTTAATGGTGCACCTTGTAATAACTTTGCTTTTTCGACTTTAATAAGTCTTGTATGTGTAGCCATGAATGAGATTAGTTTGGGTTAGCATTTTGACTCGAGTAAATGCTTTTGATGCAAGTTAGCTTGAGTTAGTATTTAACTCAAGTCAATATTCGAGCTATAAATTTTACTGTAACTAATCACCTTGTTGATAAATTTGATCTTCGTTTTATTATATTGTGTGTGAATCCAATTTTTTTTAAAAGCGTCAAATTTTGAGATTATGTAATGTGATTGCCTGATTTTGTGTAATGAATGCTATTGGTTAATTAAACGCTAAAGTTTTGATCTATTCTAATGGAAGTGTAGCTTAGATTAAAAGAACAAATTTGTAAAGCGGATTTTTTTTAAAGTTACCTGTCTCTGAGTCATAATCCTTTTTATATTTTATATATAAAAGTGGACATTTTTTGTTGTCCGGTACTGTAGAAAGTTTTTCCTTTCTTTGAATAATATTTTAAAAAGAAGTTTTTCATAGTTATTGAACGTAATGTCGACTGAAGAAAAATGCGGAAATGATTCACATATGTCAGATGATACAAATCATAAGACATTAGAAAAAAGAATTGTTAGAAAATGTGATCTTTACTTGCTACGTATGTTTCAAATATATTCAATCTTTATATACATAATTTCCTGATCTAACACTTTTCAACGGATTTGTATTTTCTTACAAAAATTTTTGAATAATTTCTTAATTAGCAATAATGATCATAATAAACCTACTGGGTATCATCGATCTAAATAACATAGGAAATGCAACTGTAGCAGGATACAATTACATTTACTTTAAGACCACACCTTATTATTTCACTTTAGCCATATCAGCCCATTTTCTCGGTTATATCATATTCCAAGTCCCCTCATGCCTGGTAACAAATATTTTAGGGATACATGTTTGGTTGCCAATCTTAATGGTGTGTTGGGCAGCAACGTCTATGAGTCAAGCTGCATGTACAACTGTGATTCAGTTGGGAATCGCTAGATTTCTTCTAGGTTAATATCATATTATTAATTCATAAGATTACAGTAGGTGTAACATGAAATCAAATAATAACTGCAATGCTTTAGTTTAGAGTAAGGGTTATAGTAAGGATAAAGTCTTGATTGTTTCAATTTCACGTTATACCTGCTCTTGAATTCTATTTAGCAGTGGCATGCCGTCATTTTGATAAATTATAATTTTCATGCATTTTTTTATTAATTTATTAATACAGGAATGTTTGAGGCAGCATTTCCCCCGTCAATAATCGGATATATTAGTTTATTTTATACCAAAAAAGAATTAACCTTAAGGTATTCCCTCTTTATGGTTATAACCACCATTAGTGGTGCTCTTAGTGGGTTCGCTGTAGGTTTTTTAAGTTCTAACACAATTGACAACACATAAGATAACTTTACTAATCCTTTGACATTTATTAACTTTATTTAGTCGTATTTCATAGTCCAAATATCTGGAACTTCATTAAGTGGTTTCCAATGGTTATTTATAATTGAAAATATCCCAACTATTTTTATGGCCTTAGTTGCTGCCATATTTTTGACTCGTGGTCCTGGAAATGCGCGTTTCTTAACACCTGAAGAACGTGAATTCGCTGTTGAACGTCTAAAATCAGAGGGTGGTCAAACTAAAATAATTGATCGTAACCTTGCTAAAGCCCAAATAAAACTTGCGTTTACTGATATCCAAACCTACAGTTACTTACTATTAGTTTTAATTAGCTCAATTCCATCCTTTGCACTTAATTTCTACCTTCCAACTTTAGTTAACAAACTTGGCTATAATAATGTACAAGCTCAATTAATGGTCATACCACCGCTCCTTGTTTCAACAGTTATTACGACTTTTAATGCTTGGTGTTCTGATAAGTATCAGACGAGAGCCTGGAACATGTTAGCTGGGTATTCTTTCTCCATCATTGGATTGGTGGGAATGATAGCAACGCGCGCCGATGACCCTAGTTTATACAAATTAAGATACTTTTTTATCATTCTTTTAGCATGTGGGGCATATAGTGTGTTGCCAGTACTGTTCAGTTGGTGCACATGTAACAATGGTTAGTATCATTTTTTTTCCCAAATGCAATATGTGTTAATATTGTTAATACTCACTAATATCGTCTAATTTTATTAAACTTAAAATTTAAAAAAAAAGTGGGTGAATATAAGCGCAGCACGGCCCTTGGAATAATATTCACTTCTGCTCAGGTTGGAGGTATTATCGGGATTCTAATTTTCCCAGCTAACAATGCACCATCATTCCTTATGGGAAACACCGTGTGTTTATCTTCAGTGCTCTTTGGAGCTATTTTAGCTATTGGATTAAAATTTTATCTGGAATTGTTAAATAAAAAACGTGATTTGGCTATAATATCCAATCATGACTACAAGTTAAATGATAGCGATTTGAAGCATAATAAAAGGATTAAAGACATTGCTATGAAGTTGGTGGAAAATGAACCGAAGTTTGATGAAGTATTGTGTGATAAACATCTTAATTGGAGATATACTACTTAAGGGCACTGGTGGTAAAACATATGTACTATATATGTATATATATATATAATATGCGAAATACACAGATAGTTTAATTTTCTTGTGCTATTAGTTATTTATAGTATTTCAGAGATTTCTCACCTATATTACCTTGTTAATTCTATCTGTGACAATATGCTTTACTTTTATTTTAAATAAACTTAAATAGGATATGGTTGGCTGGGGCAAAAAGAAAGAAGGCCATTAATTTAAAGTCTTATTATACGGAATTTTCCAAATGTACAATTCCTGATTTAACTGGCAAGGATTTAGCGTTAGGTTCTCGGGTCCTCATAGGAAGGCATTCATATGATTGGTTGATATTTATAGATCTACCCGTGATTACCCGTGATTACCCGTGATAATTAACCAATAAAATTACACAATTTTTTAATTTAATTTATTGTTTTAATATTGTATAAAAAGCTCATAAACTAATAAATGTGCCCCAAAAAATTATCAAGTATTTAGAGAATAGATATACATTTGTAAAGTGGGTGTGATATTTATTACTTATTAAAGAACATATAAGATATATATTACAATACCAAATGAATTAAAAACCATACTAACTATTGTAACCTAAAAGTAGCAATTTAACAACAAACTCATATGCGAAGGATCAAGCTAATAATGTTCAGACTCAAAATACAGAGCAGACTATGGTATTCTCTAGAACTGTGAAAACTGTGTTTATGACAAGCATTTCTATAGAAGAAAATCTTAACTTTTTATATACTAATGTTTTATATCTTTTCAAGAATTCTATTTCAAATAATATCTTTTCTATTATATCTATACAA